AAAAAAAAAAAAAAAAATAAGGTTAACATTAATTTTTATTATTATTAACAACCAGAAAAAAAAAAGATATTCAGTATTCTTAACTTGCCTTTTCATCATTTATGTTGTTTTAACCACCTTTCAAAAATCAAAACCAACTCATATGAAAAAGCGAACAGAGATGAACGACTGCTGCCCAAACTTTGAACAAATCCCGTTTAAATAAACACCATATACATACTGAAGATATTTTTAAAACAGGAAGTCAACAAAATCTGTTTAGTGATAGAATTTGCTACCGTTTCAGAATTTCATCTTCGAATAGAAATGCAGTCAGAATAATTTATTTATAATAAGTTATTGACCGCCGAAAAACTACAAATTTCTGCCGAAATGTACATTTTGAAGTTAAAGAGATTTTATAGTTGGTCTGTCTGCGTCCAATACGTCTCTGATAAGAACGTTAAAAGAAAAGGTCATCTTTCAAGAAACGATCATTTTGTCGAAAAATATCTGGTAAAAAAAATTCCAAAGTATCCAAAAAATAAAAAAAAAGAACTTTGAAAAAAAGCAATTATCAAAATATGTGCTATTTGGACGATTTGTCTAACAAAGTACTTCTGCCATAAAAAAGTCGGGTTCAGTAACATCACAGTTTCAGGTATATAAGTGACAGTATGAAAGCATCTATTAAATGCCAACTGCAAATGCTTCCATCAGTTTAGAGTGATAGCAGTAGCAAACTTTAGCTATAATTGGTATTTCAGATGTGCAATCGGCGAGTCTTAAACTATGTACACAAAACCGCAATCTATTCTATGAGTGCGTAAACGAAACTGTAAACATTGTATCGGTGGTAATTATTCAATGAACTGCAGGCAGAGAAAAGGTAAATCTGGCAAACAGCCGAATTTGCATCGTTTGCAGCCGAATTTCTTGCTGCAGTATGCGTCGGCCATCTTCGGGCAGAAGTTGCTGATCCGCCACAGTGATAAAACTGCACTTTTTAGAGTAACTGCTGCTGTATACTGGACGCGCAAGTTCATCTCTCTGGTATCTGTGTATATGTATGCATAATGTAGCAATTTTCGGTGCTCATAGTTTACTTTTCTTCAACTCCTTTTATAGCTTGCAGTCTTGCCCATGTTATGCTGAAATTTCTATTTCTCATGCCCATTTATAGTCTATTGTATATACTTTGTCTAAGTTCTTGTGCTCTTGAGCTTCTCGGATCTTTTCAGTGTGTTTCTGACATCCGTTTGAATCACTTGATGGTAGAGAAGTTGCAAAAAGTTGATGTCAGGCAAGTCTAAGTAGCACCTAATGACAGTCGATAAACATTTTTTATAGTTGAAATTGTACTTTCAAACCTCTTTTACCATATCTTGTTGGTTAGCTATACAATTAATTCTTTAGTCTGGTAAATATGGCTATAATTTTAGGTGATTTTAACTTGACTGTTTTGCTGTTAAATTATAACTACGAGAAAACGAATGGTCGATGGGTTCGTCGGAAGAGGATTTCAAAGACGATCTGTTAACTGTAAGTTAAGCTTTTCCTGAAGCATTATTAATCTTAAAATTGAAATCTCGTTTAACCTTACGAAGCAGGAAGTTTGTAGAATCGCAACCAAGTTTTTATAGTAAGAAACTTGTCTATGCAAAGATTATGTGAAACGAATCTTCTTTTACTAAATCTTTAGTCTCTTATGATCATTTTTCGGTTGGAAAATCGTTGTTTGCTAATGCATAACAGGTGTACACCTCTTTGGATTGGCTGGATTTTCAGACTGCGGATTTAGGAGTTGTTTGTATCATTATTTTGGTTATCAATATGGACGAAGTTTAAATTTAAAAGCAAATGTTTCAGTTTTGCTTTCTCTAAGGAGTAATTTTTTATGAAAGAAAAGTTTGTGCCTCTTAGAGAGTAAAACAGAGTCAACGACATTTAGGATTTTACTGAGTGGAAGCATACTTGAATTTAACCTGCAGTTAATTTTAACTCTTAGGTGTTCGTAGAATTGCAAATGGTTTTTTTACAGGCAATTGGTTTGTCTCCTCGTAACAATAATTTAAACACGACTCAGCTATCACAAAGGTCGACTAATGAGCGTAGCTGGTTACTTCCTGGGGAAGATGTTCAAATTCAAGGTATTTTTGTTATTTTTCTTTTTTAACTTTCCCTCCTATGTGAAGAACATATTTAGAAGCGAACATTGGATATATGTCTCCTATTGGTAAAATAAATGGTCGCGTTTTGGTAACAAACTTCAGGTTGCGTTTTGAAGCCAGGGATGCGTCTGCTAAACGTAACAAGGTAAATTAAATTCAGAGTTATTGGTTAGAGAAGCATTCACTGTTATTTTTTCTGTGCTCATCTTAATATGCGGATCAACTCATTTTACAGTTGAATTAGTTTGTAAATGGATAGCACTACCAGGTTCAACTTTTTAGGTGGTACCAAAAGACTTATCAGTTACATTCTTTAAGATTTGACAAGAACTGCAGAGCAATGTTTATGGTACTGCTAACAGTCACTAAATCGCTATAAATCAGCGCTTTTGTATTTGTAGCAGGATGGTAGTCTAAGTGGATTTTTCATTTGTGGGAAAAAATTTACGCATTGCAATTTTTTGGAACGTTAGGAAATGACGCTAAAATCAAATTTTCTGACAGGTTTAACTTTAAAAAAGTGCTCTGCACAAGTAAAATTGATTTCAGTGTTGTCAGTTCGATGTCCCTCTTGGGTGTATTTCTCGAGTTGAAAAAGTTGGCTACTCAACTGTTAGTTTGGGTGAAGATTCCTATGGCTTAGAAATAACTTGTAAAGTCAGTTTTACTTTCCTTTTTGTCTCAATTAATTCTCTTTACAAATTTTCCCTTTTTTGGTTAGGATCTGCGTAATATCCGTTTTGTACACCAACCAACGAATCACAGTCGACGTCCACTTTACGAAAATCTTCAGAAATTTGCTTTTCCAGTCACGAATAAGCTGGTATGGCAACGATTACTTCTTTTGAAGCAAAAACGCCATTTAGCGCTTGGGGGATTTTGTTAATTTGGTACTTTTTATAGCCTTTCTTCGCTACTGTTTACAAGCCTGAGTTTACCTTTGATGGTTGGACGCTGTTCGACACAGTTAAGGAATTCGAAAGAATGGTTTGTTGCTTTCTTTTAAAATTTTTTATTGCGGTTGTTTGCAAGGGTTCTCTACTTCTGAAATTCTTTAATTTTGTTTGAGAGGTTATTGGGTTTCTAAACTTTGGGGCTTCACTTTTATGCCGTAGAAGGATTGTTTTTTTACTTTTCTGAAACTTCTTAATTTCTGCTAAGACAGTAATTTTGGAGATACCTGATCAAAAAAATCTTTCTTTTACTAGTTAATCTGTTACAGAATGTTCCTAACGAAACTTGGAAGATTACCAAAGTCAATGACTGTTACGAGCTGGCCGATACTTATCCTGCATTTGTTAGTGTTTGCATTTTAATGTTATTTTTTTCTGTCTACATATATTTCATGGAATGTTTGATTTTTAGTTGGCAGTCCCAGCTGCCGCCTTGAACGAAGAACCAGATTTTTTGGCAAAGGTTGGCAGCTTCCGAAGCAAGCAGCGAATACCTGTACGCTTTTTCTCCTTTGCCAAACAAAAGTTTCAGATAAAAATTCCTGAAAAGCGTAGGAGTCTTTTTTGCGTGATTAGGAAATCGGTTGTTACATTTTGCGCATTTTGGGGAAAATAAAAGTGTTATTTAGGTTCTTTCCTGGATAAACCCTACTACACAAGCCGCTATAACTCGTTCTTCGCAGCCAATGGTTGGAGTTACATCTAAAAAATCTCCAGATGATGAGAAGTTAATCTAGTTCCAGTTAATACTGTTCTTTACATTAACGATGTTATGGCATATTGGATCTCATTGGTTTTATAGATACTTACGGATGATAGTGGACGCAAACGCTCACGCACATCAACTCCTTATTTTTGATGCCCGGCCTCTGGTAAACGCAAAAGTGAACAAGGTAAACAAATCTTTTGTTTTTTTATAGAGTCAATTCAAGTTTTCTAGTTACATTGGCTTAATTTATTAAATTGTTTAGTTTGAAGGCAAGTCTGTTGTCTGTCATTTTCATTTGTTTATTTAAGGCAAAAGGAGGTGGGTTTGAGGACTCGTATGATAATTGTCGTTTGTTTTTTCTGGATATCCAAAATATCCACGTTGTTCGCGAATCGTGAGTTAAACTTTGGGACTCTTTGTCTTTTCTTCTTTTCTAGAAATCACCAGTTTGAAACTAGTGGTATTCAGATTAAGGAAACTTAAAGATGCCTCTTTTCCCCGAGTCGATGAAAAGAATTGGCTTAGGGCTTTGGAAGAGTCGAAATGGCTGAGCCACATACAGGTGCGGTTAGTAAAAAGTGGATTCATATTTTTAAAATTTGTATTGGCTTTCAGCTGTTTTTTGCTAAAAATACTTTTTGGAATTTTTGTTGTAGTTTTTCTTTCTTTTTAATTCAGACAATTCTGGATGGGTCGAAACAGATCGCTCGCGAGGTTGAGGATAATCACGCCTCAGTTTTGGTTCATTGTAGTGACGGATGGGATCGCACAGCGCAAGTAATTAAGACGAAGTGTACAGCTGAAGTTAACGTTCAGTTGATTTCACCATGTAACTTTTTTTAATTTTAGTTGACTGCGTTAGCGATGCTACAGTTAGATCCATTCTACAGAACAATTAATGGGTTTGCTGTTTTAACTGAAAAAGAATGGTGCAGTTTTGGACACAAGTTTGCTCAAGTATCGTTTTGTTACTTGAATATTTCGAACTCTTGGTTAGCGCTTTTGTATAGCTTTTTTCACAACAGTAAAATTTTCTTTATTTTAGAGAGTGGGACACGGCGAAGACAAGCATAGCGATGCGGAACGTTCCCCAGTCTTTGTTCAATTTATTGACTGCGTATGGCAGTTGCTTCGCCAGGTTGGTGTGGAGGATTTTATGGACTTAATTTTGATTAACTTATATTATTTCTTAATTAAGGAAGGCATGTGTGGAACGAACAACTTGTACGTGTAGCGAAACAGTAACTTAAATATTATCTCATGTTTATGAGAAAAAAAAATTAAACATATCTAAACGAGTTTTTTAGTTCGCTTACTTTTTCAGTTTCCTTACGCTTTCGAATTTAATGCATCGTTTTTGATTACTATTCTTGATGAACTTTACTCTTGCCGCTTTGGGACTTTCTTGTACAATACCGAAAAGCAGCGACATCGTGAACAAGCAGGTTTTTTTGATCTTGGAATAGAAACATTTTTCTCTTCTATAATGATGACGGAGTAATCAGGATAGAAAAAAAAACTGTTTTAGCATTGCAAATAAAACTTTAATTTTTATTTCGTTAGCCTGCAAATTATGGTCTTCTGTGAAATTGTCTTGCAGACTTCTAATAGTAAAAACCATTTTAGAAAGTTAAGAAAAATACTGTTTCTTTATGGTCGTACATAAATGATAACAAGGTAGCGTTTTTGAACCCTTTGTATAACCGTTACCCGCGCTATATTGACATTCTCCGTCCTAATACAAAGATGGCACAAATTCAGACTTGGAAGGAGTATTATTTCAGACATAATCCTCGAGTTGTTGCGCAGGACCGCGTGGTAACCGTTTTTTGTACTTCTGTTTGTTTGTTACTGCTGGTATTTTTAATTCATTAACATCGTGTTCTCGATATTTCATTCTGAGACCCACAGCTCAGAAATTTCTTAGTAAGACTCTTGTTTCAGGACATAGAAATGCTTTTGAATGAAAAGCTTTTACTTCGTTTGGAAGCGCTCACTGCGAAGATCGAGGAGCGTGGACAAGCCGTTAATAAGGATACCTCTTTGGCAGCCAGTCGAAGTAGCCCTTCAGCCCCACTAAGGCAGTAAAATGCTTCTTTCTGAGTGTTCCTCTCACTCTTTCCTTTTAAGCCGTACACTGAACTACATTGCTTTAAGTGAGTTTGGAGTTTCCTGAAACCCAGCAGTTCCTGACATGAAATTCCTTTGTGTTGCTCTGCATAATACTTTCAAAATGTGGGCTATCATTTATTTTAAATTCCGCTGTTTACCGAAATTCAAAAGAATTCTATTAAAATTTTAATTTTTACAGTTATTAACAGTATGAGGTACTTGTTTTTTAGCCACTTTAATTATTTAATTTGACTCGTTGTTTTACTAAAAAGTATCGTGAAGAGATCTCATGTAATTTTTATACAGAAAGCTTTCCTCATGCACGTGTTTGAGTTGTCATTATTTCCTTGTGTTGTATTTCTTACGGCTATATATATTGTACTTGCCAAAAATACAGTAGTTCTACTTTATCTGTTGCTCGCTGATGTTAGAAATTTGTATACAGAGTGATACGAATTTGTATTTCGAGTTATTTTGGAGGAGTAGAAATGGGCTGTTCAAACACTGTCTTATTTTCACTCTTTTCCAAATTCATGTTGGTCGTCCTTGGGACGTAGCTAGGGGATAATGAAACAGTTTAGTCAAAAAACCTTGAACAAGATTGGTTGTTTAGCAGCTCCAATTTTACGTCTTCACTGTTACGGCCCTTGAAGGACGTCGTGTTTGAAGAAATAATTCGTTATTGCGTTCTTTACATAGGGATTCTTGATTGTGAACAATTTCACAGACAGAGGTGCAACTGTTGTGAATTATAGAAGGAACGCAATACTGCTTCGCAGGTAAAGTATTCCAGTAAGTAATTTCTGTTTCAGCTATTGGCCAGGAGGTGTGCAAAGTGGTGTGGCACTTTGGTGGCACAAGAAGGCCAAAGTTTATTAAGTGCGTTAGTGCAGTGGCTTGTTTGATTTAGCAGCTCGTTTGTTAACTGAATGTTGTGTCTGCTTTTTCGGAATATTAGTGAAATAAAGTGATGGTTGGTAATAGTACGTCTGTTAACGTTTCTCGTGCATAAGGACGTTAAGGTCGAAGTGGTTACGGGAAGATGGGAAGTGACATGAGGAATAGTTGTTTGATCAACCGTTCATAGTTGTTTGATCAACCGTTCTTTTTTCTTTTTTTCCGTGTCAATGGCAGATGGATTGATGTTTGGATAACAGCTGAAGGTGTTAGGCTGTTAAAGGAAAGCTACCGAGGAAAACTAGTTGTGTTATAATTCCAACTAACGGAAGGTATAAAGTGACGGTTATTCGAAAATGCAAGGACTGTAAAGTGAAGTTTCACCGACTAGTTACTTTCCATTGTCGGTTGCAATTTGGTTTCAATATCAAGAGGCCAGGACGAATGGCTGGCAGTTAGTTTGACCGGGGTAGAAGAAATCACATGTAGTTTATGACAAATTTTACAATGTACATTATGGCACAATTTTCTGCTGAGATCACTCGAAGAAATGACATCTAATAGGCATTCGTTCCTACAAATTACTGCATCACCTATTGTTATTTGTTGAGCACCAAAATGACCTAATTTGTTTGATGATATTCTTTGGCACAGATGACATTGTTATCAATGGGCAGTAGTAAGGTTGTCAAAAAAGAAAAAGGTTATTTTTGCCTACAACGCCACTTCTTCAAAACTTTTTTGTTTTAAAGGTAAAGGAGAATTTGATTCAGATTTCTTGGTTAGATCTCCTTTATTTTGTTTACAATGAGTGGTCGACGGTGCATCGTTTTCAATACTTGAAGGTGATGCTTTGGATGTTGTACTACATGTTTCATCTGCAGCTGCTGAGCGGGTCGACGGCAGATGCGAAGAACTGTAATAAAACTAAGTAATTTAACGGTGAAAAGAAAAAATATTTATATAAAAAGCATTAAAGCTCGGTAATTGACTGATAAGGAAGAAAGATCGGTAAAAAAGTTACAAAATGTCAAATAACTTTTGGAAAAAATTATATTGATTATAAAAAATTTCTGAAGAAATTTTGCAAATCACCTGCTGCTTTCTGGATTATCTGCCGATGGGATGCTTTTTGACCCTGTAACTGCACCGACCTCTCGGCCATCAGCTGGGACAGCATCTGCAGCGGACGACGATGAATTGGAAGTATCCTAAACAGTTAAATGCTGGGTGTTTGACTTGTCACTCTTGCAAAGTTTTTATGTTTTTTGTTGAATGCATCCTCGAAGAATGTTCTTCAAAAAATCTATTAAACCGCTAAATTTGCAAATAAAAAGCATAGATGTTCTCATCTTACATCGTTTCGAATTGTCGCAGCAATACTAGTGCTCTGGCTAGGGCTGGCTTGGTTACTTTCTAGCGCCATTTGCATAGCTTCCTCATAAGTCGGTGGTGGATCTGCTGCAATATAAAACATTTTCGGCGATTGAGGTTTTGGGCTACCAGCTTCACAAGGAGTACTTGGACCGGATGGTATGAATCGTAACATCGATGCGGTTCCAGCATTTGTCACCAAGGGTGGTAAGGCGCGGTTTTGCGCAATACATTCTGCTGGAGTAATGATACGTACTGGTGACATAGACTGTAACGTAGATGACGAATTTAATATGCTAAGTGGTGGTCTGAGGGCACTTTGATTGTAAAATAACATGGTTACTTTAATTGACCAGGTATACGTAAGTCTTACTTTAAAAAAATTGAAAAATTTTGCTATCAGGTTTTTATTATGAGTTTCATTAGGAGAATTTAAAAAAATTTGTAAGCATACAAAGATGTTCGTGATCAGCAGTGTATTTAAATACTGTAGAGAATTGGTGGAGAGAAGAATTTACCTGCAGACGCCTGGTTCTCCTTCTGCTCTTAGCGAAATTGATTCCGGTACATAGCAGAGTCGTTAATCCGACAAGTACGGCAATAGCAGCAATGATAATTACTGCCATTACACCTGCGGATATACCGGTGTCCGAGAGGGAATTCATTCCTTGATATCTTCAAAAAAGACGGGTATTTTTTTGCAACTACTTTTTTAGTTAATGTGCACAAAATAACAGGGAAGGAGAGCAACAAAAAGCGATCTTTGGCATTGCTAAAAGAAGTAAAAAAAGGAAAATCGAAAGATAGCTCCACATTATTGAATGTTAAAAACGTTTTTGTAAAATGTTTCACTTCTTACACTTTTCATTCATTTATTAAGTTAGTTACGCTCTTGTTTTTTTTTTTGTCTTTCCAGCATTCATTTATTTGCTGTTGTTTGAAATTTATAGGTGTAATGCTGTAAGTTTTCAAACAAATCTAAACCCAGACGACTAATCTAGGTTGGAACAAGAAACTGAATAATTTTTTGATGCATATTTCTTTACGTACAGCGCCATAAAATTATGAGAGGACGACAATTTTTTCCAATTTTTTCTCAATTCTGTAAAAAGTGTTTTGAGGAAAAAAAGTGACATAGATTTGCTAAAAGAATCGTGTATTCCAAATGCTTCTAATCAGAAACAAAAGCACTGTATGCTCGGAGGAAAGCAGCTACAGACTGTAAATTTTTTTTGACCAGAACTGTTTGTAGAGGCAATCAGTCTTATTTGCGGGTAATTTCAGGAAAAAAAAGAGAAGAGAGAGCGAAAGGTGTAATTTTTGATGGTAAAGAAGAAAAAAATTATTTTGCTGAAAAAGTTAATGTATCAACTCTCAAGCATAAAAATTTGAATTTAATTTTCATATTTTCATTAAAGTATTCTGAATTAGCAGCAAGCTCTATTTCCTACTGTAAACAAACTTAGAAAGTTCAAACTTATAGTAATCGTATGTTTTTTAACAAATATTAATGAGACTAAAGTGATAAATGAAGAGAAAAAAAAAGCGAAAAATAGTTTACTATTAAAGGTAAAAGTAAGTAACAAAAAAGTAACGTCAGTCAGTTGTAATTCAAATAAATTATAGCGTTTTTTTTTGTTTCTTTTAGATAAGTATAACTGTTCAAAGAAAACCTCTTTTTAAAGTACCGTTACTGAGGGACTTTGTTGGTAACCAAACGCGAAGCAAAAGCGCATAAATAAATACAGTTTTTTTGTTCATCCATTTTTTGCTATTGTTGTTAACAACTAAAAAAATATTTTCAGCATATTATTTTATCATCAGAAAAGTATAAAATAAGAGAAATAAAAAACAGAAAGAAATAGAAAAGATGAGAAGAAAATTGTGCCGAGTAGCTGTCCTTATGCTAATTATTCAGCAATTAAAAAGCAAAATTTTTTGTTTCATTTTAATTTACAGGTTTTTTAGCATAAAATTTTTTTAACTTTTCAAAAATTTGAATATTTTTTTTTTTTTTTGCACTTTAATTCTGGTAAAACGGAAAGAAAAAATAACTTTTTTTTTTTGCTGCGACGAGAGAGATTGGAGGGTGAGAGATTAGGAAATAATGTGGGGGCGACATTTAAGCTGTGACGGTGAACGATTGAAGCATTTAGTAAATTGAGAATTTGGATGTCATTATCGCAATGCTACCACATCGTCTGTTAATGTGTTCTCAACTAAAAACTAAATTTTTTTTCCTGTTGCTGTCTTTTCAAATTGCTAAAAGTTCAAAAAGATAAATGCTGAAAAAAATACTACTGCTTCGACGTCAGTTTGAATTCCAATACCCAAACAAACAGCAAATTAATACAGAAGAAGAAGAAGAAGAAGAAGAAAAAAAAAGGAACTGTTCTCCTCTGACAAAACTTTTGCTAACCTGTTATTGAAATATGTAGTTTAGCATTTCTTTGAACTATACAAAAAAAAAAAAACCCTGAAAAATAAAGTACAAATTTAGCCTTCTAAAACTGTTAATTTTTTCCTTTGTACACAAAACTGCAGAATTTTTTTGATTTATTTGGATCTTACAGCTGAAAGCTTTTATGTTTCTATTATATTGAGCTTTTTTTTTTGAAAAAAATTCATCAAAGGTTTTTTTCTTTCATCTTTTGTCAATATTTCCTCTAAAATTGTCCTAAAATGACAACATACAGTCTATATGAATGTCAAAGAGAAAAAAAAAGACGAGCGAAAAACGAAAAGATAGGATTATTTTGTCAGTGTTACCATTCTATTTTGGATGAAAAAATGTTGCTAAACAACGGGTTAAGCAAAAACTATATTTTTATTGAATTCCTTTTTTTCTTCCATTTTTATGAATAAACTACAACATATAATTTAAAAAGCTTTTTTTTTCCGCTTAGAAGCAGATATTGAACCCGAGACAGTGATTGCAGTTGCTTAATTTTTAAGGCATTGGTCGTTGATTATCGTTGATTACCACCCTCCTCTCCCCCCATAAAAATACAATTGTATTCATAGACGTTTATTTGCGAGCATCAAAGAGATGAAGTCAAAAAAAAAAGAAAAAAAAAAAAAAGAACAGAACAAATTTGCGGCTAAAAATTTGATTTATTTTTGCATAAATCAACAGAAACAATACTATCCATAAATTTGTCAAACAAAAAAAAGTAAAGCTACAATTATGAATGAAAAATTTGTCAGAAAAAAAAAAAAAACGACTTTTAAGTCTCTGTTAATTGAAAATTTAACAGTAGTATAGCATTCAAAGAATTCCATAGAAAAATAATTAGAACATCTGTTACAAGGAATATTGTTGCATTTACCAGCAGCGCAGTTACCGAAGACGTTCCACTGACTATGGTCCCGGTATTTGGGATTTTAGAGCAGTGAAGGCGAGCTTAAAAGCTAACAGACTACTGACAAGGTAGAGGGGGACAAGTAGCAGCTGGGTTGTTTGCCGGTTTCCTAGCAAGTAAGCTGGTTGACGACAACGACAACGACAGCGAACAACAACAACAACAACAACAACAACAACAACAACAACGATGGCATAAGGACGAGCTGAGCACGGATAGCATCCACACCAAGTGACAGGGTTGCCTACTGTCGGTATGGGTTGACTGCTGAAGTTGAAGGGTTGTGTAAACACAGTTTGGCATTGTTTGCCCGAACTAACAATGCTAAATGTTTTTGATTTGTTAACCAAACTTCTC